GGGCACAGACCATGAAATCGCATTTCCCAACGAGTATGAAGTCCACAGCACACATTGGAGACATCGTTGTGACCAGAATTACAATGGGGAAACGATCCGAGCACAAACCATGAAATCGCGGTTCCCAACGAGTATGACGTCCAGAGCGCGCATTGTAGAAAGTTCAGAGGTGACATTCACGACATCATTGCGACCAGAACTATAATGGGGGAACGATCCGGGCACAGACCGGGCACAGACCTTGGAATCGCATTTCCCAATGAGTATGCGGTCCGGACCGCACATTGGCGACATCCTTGTGACCAGAATTATAATGGTGCGCCCAGCCGCGCTCAGACAAAATGTACGTTTCACCACACGTTCGTGCACTCGACACGCACGATCTCCGCAGAGGGTTGCTCGAGGGCAAACCTTGAAACCAGAATTACAATGGGGAAACGCAAAATCGACAAAACCTTGTCACCAGAATTATAATGGCGGAACGCACCGCGCACACCAAAAATGTACGTTTCACCACACGTTCGCGCGATCGACACGCACGATCTCCGCAGAGGGTTGCTCACGGACAAACGCGATTCGCGTCTCACCACACGCGCGCGCGATCGATGGCCACGATTCCACGAGAGGGTTGCGTTTCGTAAGACCTGCTCGCACCGCCCCGCCGCCTAAAGAGAAGAATAAAGAAGAAGTTGGGTAGGTGAAGTTGGGTAGGTGTCTTAAGGAAGATGTCTACACCTACCTATCTTCACCTACCTATCTTCACCTACCTATCTACACCTACCTACCTACACCTACCTGTCTATACCCACTTATCAATACCTACCTATCAATATCTACTTCTGATGTACTTTGATATTGTTGATCTGATACTTCTACTTCATATGTTATGTTGTGATGTGATATTATTTTATCACATGATATGAGATGATATGATCTGACATTGATGTGATGTGATATGATATTAAAACATGATATGATATGATATGTTATGACATTGATGTGATGTGATATGATATTATAACCTGATATGATATAATATGATATGATATGAGATTAATAACCTATGAGGTGATGATTAGATGATGATGTTGTGAGGGTGAAGTAGGAGAAAGTTAGTAAAGAATATGAAGTAAGGAAGGTGAAGTAGGATAAAGAGAGTCAGGAAGAGAGAGTGGGGAAGATGAAGTAAGAGAAAGAGAGTAAGGAAGAGAGAGTGGGGAAGATGAAGTAAGAGAAAGAGATTAAGGAAGATGAAATAGGCAGCAGTGCTTAAGGAAAAACCCTTCGCAGGTGCTTTCGGGAAAAAAAAGTGTATGTATATATATATACACTGTACATATATATATATATGTGTGTGCATATGAAGAAAGAACGAGCAAGAGAGAGAGAGAGAGGGCTACATACACAAACAAACCACAGTTCAACAAATTTCAAGCGACGAGGGGTATACATGTAGTCTCTGGAGTATAGAGACTACATGTACCATACGCACGCACGTTTACCAGAGCCGGCGGCCTTAAGTTCCCAACGCCCCACAAACCCCGAAACACCAAAAAAAACCATCGGATGATTAAATTCGAGAGTGACGCTCAAGGGTAATGCCTTTTGACTTGACCCTGTGCCCACAAGCAGAGCAGACATCCAAACGAAGAGGGTGAGGAAGACAGGGAAGACATGTTTTCTCACTTCTTCTAAAGCCAAAAGTGACTTCTAAAAGAAGAGGGGACATATATTGATGCCATAAAAGACATTCTCAGTCAAGAAGGAAGTCGAGTAAGCTGTTCATTTTTTTCAACAAAGCCCGCCATCTGCCATCGCCCAGGCCTCCGGGGTGCCCTTTGGCCCCTTCTTCTTGGCCTCGTTTTTGTTCGGCGCCCCATGGAGCGCCATGAGTGCCGTGGTCGGCTCCACACTGGCCTCCCTGCCTGAGGTGCGGGGACTGTGCGGGACCAAAGCCGAGCACTGCGCCGCGGTGGAAGTTTGAGAGGTCGTTTTCAATTGGTGAAGAAAAGAATAACGGTGGAGGTGCAGGGGTGGAAAACAGAGATGTTTTGATATTTTCAGATATCTCAGAATGGTCTTCTCATTATGGACCTTTGACATCCTGATTGACGGACCAACCTTTGAGTGGTCCTGTGGTCCTTCCCTGTGACTTGGAAATTGTGGGCTCAGATCCCCAGCCCGTTTGGGCTTACTCGATATACCAGTACTTCCAACAGGGTGCCGACATCCCAGGACATCCACTCAGAGTCCAACAACCACCCAGACTTGTGACCCCTGGTGTGTTATATATATATATATTATATCATGTTAAACACTGAATGAACATCCATCTCCCACATCTCCCATGAGTTTGGTCCACCTCAAGGCCTGCAAAATTGTTCCACGCCTTTCAATCATCAGTGGATTAAGGAAAACCCATGGTGTTTAAATATAAACCCCCCAAATAGATAGAAACACTAAATCTACATACTGTATGTATTGGAGACGCCGCTCTCTGTAAGGAGACCTATTGGAGACGCCGCTATCTGGCAGATCGGCCGCCGGTTTCGTTCGGTGGACGCTCCGCGCAGATCTTGGAAGGGCGCGGGGAGGAGAAGATGCGTGCCGGGGTGCCGAGGGGAGCAGCGGAGCAAATGGATGGTGCGCACGATTCCTGGGAAACGCAGGTCGTTCTAAGTCGTTGCGGTCGTATAACATGTCGTTATGTCGTTATATATAATCATGGGACATCGACGCGTGTTGTAACATGTGTCAAACCAATTTCTGGCACCGGGAAAACACACTGTATATCAACACCCTGTATGCACCTTGAAGATGTGATGCGTCCCACCTCACGTCGCTTGGGGTAGCGGACGTTCGGTGCCGAACCGCTGATCCGCATGCTCAACCGCATGCGCCGCGAAGCGGTGAAGCTCTCACGGGCTGAGAAGTGGTGGGAGGTGAAAGCCTTCAGCCCCCCGTCAAAAGGGGTGGCACAAGTGACTAGTGACTAGTAAGAGTCAGAAGCTGGCATGATCGACATGGGGGATTTGACTCACTAGGTTCGGTCATGGATGGTGCTCCCAGCGTTCCAAGATGTTCCAAGTGCCCTTGGAAGACTTCAGGAGTTGATGGCATCGTGGAAGGCTCAGCCCTTGCTGCTGACCTTTGGTGTGCTCCTGGGTGTGGCAGCCATTGGGCTTTTGCATCTTGACCCATCTGGACGGCAGGGGAGGGGTGTGATTCAGGAGTGTGAGAAAGGAGTGTGAGAAGCGACCATGGGTCCCAACGAATTAAGGTGGGATTTGGCAAGAACCGAGTGGACTCTTGGAAGGACATCATGAAACAATGTGACGACATATCACGAAGACGTATCATGGAGACATCCGAAACGATCCCCACAAAAAAAAATGAGAGACACCCGCCTTGTGCAAGGGACCCGCACAGTCATCAAACGAGCGGTGGACGTCACCAGGAAGTGCGGGTGGCACATCGAAACCTCAGAAAAAGCATGAAAAAACAAGCTGTTTCAGGGGGAGCACAGTGCTAAGCACAGCCACTAAGCCGGAGGGCGGCGGTGTCACCCAATCTTTTGAGCTCCTGTGCAGCCGGCTGCAAATTTGCGGAAACCCGGGGTCAGAGCACATCACTAAGCAAGGGAAGAACTGTAGGTGTGAATCTCACAGGCAGGGGCAAGGAACAGCTATATAATATAGTATAGATGCAGCGAAGATGAGATGGAGCATGATGGAGCTTAGGTGTTACAGATGTGATGACCTCCACTATTTCATTTGCTGGTTTGCTGCTGTTGATCTTTTGCTGGCCTTGCCTTGCTGGATTTGCTGTGAGCTGGCAAGCTGGCAAGCTGGAAGCTGGAAGCATGAAAGAGAAACGGTGCGCAGGGCCCGCCGGGCCCAGGGATTCACCAAGACCCACACTTTGACACCCAGGCCCCCGCAATGGAAGCGCATGTCTTGGAGATGTTTGCAGTACCTAAGAGACCTTTGCATGCATCCGGCGCTAAACATGCGCAGCGTCATACGTCATGATGTCACCTCCGGCGTGCCATGGGGGTTGGCCGAACCGTTTTCCAAGGTGTTGCCGAGCGTGTTCCGATCCGAGTCCTGCCTTTCAGATCTAACAGAATTGCCTTTGTTTGTATCAGTATTTTTTTCAATATAAGTAGGACTCTGTGTCTATATGTAGGAATATGTCTGGCAACCTGTATTTTTTCAATATGTATCTAGTGTCTATATGTAGGTATCCTGACGTATGTTAGTCAGTAGCTGTTGCCTATGTAGTCAGTCTGTCAATCACTGCCAGGCGAATTTGAGTTGCCTGAAGTTGCACTTGTTAGGACAGTCTGTACGTCGTCATGTCACCAAGATAAGCATCATAGGCACAAGATGGCACAAGATAGTTGCTTACCACTCATGTGTGGTTTGTCGTCCCACGAGCTGTGGTTTGCCGTTGGAGCCCGTTCCGGCCGAGGATTCTGAAGACACAAAAGCTCATGGAGACCTACCGTGAGTTCATGAAGAAAGCTGCATAGAAGCGCTGCGTATACCACCTAGAGTGGCGCCAAGTTGGAGGAATTGGCTAAGAGAGAGCTGGAATGAGTAGTGAAGAACTTCATTCTTTTGGCTGTGTTTTTTGGGGCAACCTGCCAGGACCCGCCAACCTTGCTCTCAGGCTTTAAAGAGGCATTAGTAGACTTACAGGGTCCAAATAGGTTTGAGAACAAGCGGCCTACAGCCGCCTGTTTGAGACTTTGTTTTTCTTCTCACTATGGCCTGGCTGCGGACACTGGGGGTTCACCATCCCTCAGATTCGACCAAAAACGCGTGCGAACCATTTCTGAACCTTGCTGGGGCATATATACCGGGACCCTCCAACACTCTGCCCTAACTGGTGGTTTTGGGGCACTTGTTGTCACCAGGTGCGGGGCTTTGGTAAAAATATATATATATATATTTACTATATAACATACAATAAATATACAATTATTATAAGCATGCCGCATGCCACAAATTGCTGCACTGTTTGGCCAATTCCTGCGATTCCTGCGCTGCAATTTCTACTTCAGACGGCTGGGATGACGGGTGAAAGCTGCGGTCAAGACCCTGCACACAGCTCAAAGCTGATGCAGTCCCGCGCTGGTCCACTGAAACGCAGTCATCCCATTCTGTCAGAGCTGGTCACCTCGAGTGAGTGCATTTGCACGAGTTCAGATCAGAAGGGCCTGTGTCAAGATATGCAGACCATGTTTGTTTTAAGCCCATTCACTGTACTCGTAGAATGGGCTTTTGTGGATGTAAACCGGCAAGTCAACCGGTTCTTCGTCCCCGAACACAGGCCGTCTTCGTGGGGCCACAGATGCCCCAGGGTCACCGGCCCAAAATCGCACACGATGACGTCAAAGTCATGGAGAAAGAAGCGGGCAGGTGTTGGGTGGACATCGAGGAAAGGGGAACAAAGTGGTTTATAGCACAAACGATGCAGCAATATGCCCTAGAGTCTGATATAGTTTGACTCACTCGGAAGTGGAAGCGGACAAGGCTATTTTTAGGGAACATGATTTTGCCATGTGCCATGTTCCATTTCTATGTCAGTGAGTCGACCTAGTTTTGCAGACCACGAAGGGAAACTGGTTTGGTTTGGGATCCCTCACAACATGGGAGTGTGACATGTAAGGTAGACCAAATGTTGTTATGTGGTGAATTTATACTCCAGGGGCATCCAATGGGTGTTCAATGGACTACCCTACAGTACTTAGGGATCTCCATTGGACACCCATTGGATGCTCCTGGCTTATATGATTACAATTCTTAGACTTTTGTGTGTTTATAGGCTTCTAATGGTTTCTATTCAGAGCCGGGCACTTGGAGGCACTGACAAGTCCCAAGCAAACAAAGGCACTTCTCAGGTTTGTTTTGGTGGTGTTTCTCGCTGTTCCACTGCGCCCTTGGTAACCTTGGTTTGTTGATTTTACTTCCACACACTTTCTGCATATGTCACCGCGCTATTGTGCCCACTTCCAGGCATTTGTCCAGGCATTTGTCTTAAGTGTGTCAACTTGGGTTGGTTCGAGGAACCCCCCCCGTTTTTCGGATTGACCTTGGTTGTTCAATGAACGAACACCTGCCTGGACCATCTACAAGACAGGTCAACTTCAGATTTGTACTTATATAAGTGCTCACTTCCAAGTGTGTGTTTTGGTTGGGCCTTCTTGGACAGGGCAAACGCAGAGAGGGGAGAGACATTCTAGTGACTCCAGTGGGCCGCATATGTTGCATACCAATTCCATCAAACCCTTGGAATGGTATCAGATTGAGATGAAGGCAACACCCCGGCAGTTTGGGAATAGGTTTGGGTTCCATTCCATTACTGGTGGAGGCTATCAGATTGAGATGAACCAAAGCAAGACCCTTGCCTCCGTTCCAGAATGATTCGCCTCCTTTCCCGCGACCTTTTCCGCGCCACAACTGGGCTCGCAGCCGCAAAGACGAGGGGAGAGACTATACAATTAGATACAATTAGATAGTTGATTTGTCATAACTAGAGTCTTTAAAGTCATAACTAGATAGATGCTCTAGGGCTGTTGCTAGGTTGGACTTTATAGAGTCATAACTAGAGTCATCCTCCTAACTGCCAAGCCTTTTAATGGGCCTCCTCTAGGCATCTCGGCACCGGAAAGAATCAACTTCTTATATGGGGGGGGGTTCTAAAACCGTCTCGGTTCAGACTCACCGCTCTCACACCTGTCACATCTGTCACAAAGACTTCGGCACCGAACTGACTGTGCTCATGGACGTTTGGCCGAAAGGCACGGGCCAAACCGGTGGACCGAACACGGAGCCGCGAACACGGCGAACACCGCGGACGTTTTGAGGGTGCCCATGAGTGACCCAGAAGTCTTGGATAGGCTGGACTTGCGAGGTCGGTCGGTATCCTGGTTTTTTGACCCACTGCGATTGATTCGTTGAAGAGTCTCAAGAGTCTCAAGAGCTCAGGCTTGCACCACTTTGGGAAGGGGCACGAAGTCAACTCATGATGGTTGATCATCTCCAGAAAGCCCAGGCGGCCCATTGATTTTTCGGGCGCTTTAAGACCCATATGACGAGGCTTTTCAATCCAATTGGAGGGGGCACACATTCATCAAGAGTCTACATTATGGAGATGACGACATGTCGTCACCAATCCACCCTTGCCATGGCATGCCGGACAAATCCAAGCACCTTCTCCAGCCTCCTCAGAGATTCGGGAGCCTTCAAAGCCATTTGAAAGGGAGGTAAGTATCTTACTTTTCTATCTATTTGGGGGTTTGTGTCTATATATATATAATATATCTGTGTGTGTTTTTGTTATTTGGGGTGGCAGGGGCAGAGGCACTGCAGGCACTGCTTGTAGTGGCTTTACATGGCCTTTTGGTGGCCGCCCAAGTCCGTAAAGATGCGTAAAGTGCTTATCATGTTCTTGTATGTTCTTGTTATTGTAGGCTTGGGCTTCAAAAAGGCCAAGTTTTCTTATTTTCGCCACAAGAGATCCCGGAACTGGTTGTATCCCCACCACGAGCGTTTCTCCCGGTTTCTCCCGTGCGGATGGACACCATATCCAGTTCTTTTGCAGGTATATCACCTGCCCACGAGCTCCTGGGCTTCTGTGAAGCGCTGGGTTTAGCGCGTTTGGCGGTTGTTGAGCCAGTTCCGACCACCAAGCTGGGACACGTCAAGGGCATTAATAGGGCATCCCTCGTCGATCATGAAATCCATTGTTGGCTGAAGTGAACACATGGGCACTACTTGGGTGGAGTAGATAGGCGATGAGGGAGAAAGATGAGAGAAAGGGGGAGGGAAAGGGAGAGGGAAAGAGCATGGTTGTCGGTAGTTTGATGCAGAACTCCATGTTATACAACTCCATACGCAGGATCTCCAAGTTGACTGAAGCAGCTCATGCTTAGGCAGCAGTAGCACTCCGTGCCCAACACACCTGACATGTCATTCGGGTCCGGGTCATCCCATTAAATGTTCCCTTCCATCGAGATAGGTGATCAATGGTGGTGGGAACCATGGAAAGATTACACATGGATCAAGTGATCAGTAAGACCGTTAATGGTCCAATCAGCTAAGATCATTAATGGATGATATGACGATATGTGATATCAGAACTAATCATTATATAAGATCATTAGCTTCAATAGTATCATTCACATTGGTAAGTGCAAATCAATAGATGACCCACGTGGATCCAAAGACAGTGATGTTGGCGACCTTTGAGGCTCTTCTTCTTGGAAGGTCGCCAATGGATGTTGTCACGGCCTCAGCATTTCAGCATGTAGCACATGTAGGTGCCAGAAACCGGAAGCCATAACAGGCAAACTCTATAGTTTGCGTGCGAGTTTGGGGCCTAGGCACATGCCTTCAGGTGCCAATCACGCCGCCTCAGCCTTGAATGAGTCCAATTCAGGCTTGGTGAGCATTTGGCACGCCAGCTCCGCATGCCGCCGTGCTGACGATTGAGGCAGGTGGGCAAAACACAAAGGAGAAAACCAAGTTATATACTTTCCCTGGAAGTTAAATGGAAGTAGAAAACTCCCAGTTTGTAGGAGGAAGAGTGTCTTCCAAGGTGCCATGCCATCCACTTCCATACTTCCATGTTAGTTCCAGGGAGTGTAATCATTTCAACTTGGTCATGGGGTCATGGCTAGTTTGGACATGTAGATCGATGCAATCCTGCAACACCTGCAAATCAGGGAATCGATATGTCCATGGGCATTTTTTTGTCACATGTCCCAGCGACATCAACGGTGGTGCAGGAGCACCTGTCCATCGCCCATATAATAAAAGATAATGAAAGCCTCGAAGTCTATTTGCTAGCCGTAGGGGAATGTAGGGCTTCGGGATAGTCATGCCTTAGTTGAATTGATGTTTCTCAACAAGCCAGAAATCTCTACCTCTTCACTCTTCACCCTTGATGTTTGCTCCTTCTCAGCTGCTGACTGGAGTTCCCTGCCATAAGGTGTTCGCAGGAATCTATCATGTTCAGAATCAACAGAAATATGTTATGTCTTATACCCCATCCATCCAGGCATGCACTTCTCTTTGGCATCCGATCTTTGGACTTCTAGGTTGTGTGCATATACAGGAAATCCGGCAATTACTTAATATGGCACATATTTGTGCGGTACACGGGATCTATTGCACACTTTTGGCCATTCATCAAGGAAAGATATTAGATCTCACAGGTCCATTCTCCATTCTCCATGTTACTGTTGGCTGTATGTGGATAGTCAAGAAAAAGGACTTCATCCGCGTTGAACATGTACAAGGCTCTCTTCTGACATTGTCCTCCTTCCCTTCCTTCAAAGGGCGCCTGCCACGTTACCCTGCGACGTACGACGTCGACGTCCGAGGCCAAGATCGCCGCAGCGCTGCAGATCGATCTGCCGTCGCTGGCGTGGCCGGAAGTGCGCCCGATGCCAGGCGGAATTTTTTCCGGGACCGGAGGTTCAAGTACAAGGTGGAAAGAAGATGGAAACAAATAGAAGATGATAGAAGAGTTACTATTGGGTGGAGGTTTTGGATGGTTTTGGTGGAGGTCATAAACCGAGGAAGC